TTAGGTAAACACTCTGAAATTTGTCATTTGGGCACTGAATTGCACAACAAGGGCCTATATGAATGACAACTTGTAAATCCGTGACAAAAGGAGAGCAACTACCCGACATAATTCTCAAATACGACCTTATCTATAATTAGAAACATGAAACAGAGGAATCGATGTCACTTTTATAAAATTGCATCCTTTCCATTTTTAGATTATTTTCTAGCTGCCACTCATATTTGTCTCCTTCGTCTATCCCATTATTTCTTAGACAGCCATCTGGCTACGAGCCTTTGAAAAGATTCAAAATACAATCTTGATCCTACTAATTGGAAATCGATTTTGATTTTAGCAATTTTCACCTTAATTGAAATATGGCATTTAGTTTTATGGGGGTAGCTTACCCCCACCCCCGAAAAAAGACAATACCCCCATATCTCCTTATCGGTAACACGTACGATGTTGAAAATGGCAGAAATGGAATCAGCACCATCAAAAACCTATAGAAGGATATTGGTTTTGGTGGTATATCTAATAAGCTTCAAAATGAAATTCAGACAATGCCTGCCAAAAGTACTTGGAACACCCACCAATTTACGCTGCATTTGATATCTTTCATTCCTTTCATGAAAAAAATTTGCTACTTCCGCCCCTTCCCCCTCAAACAATGTTGATGATTTAGAGAAATATCATAAAAGAAGCGCAAAAGAAAGTGCTTCCTAAAATCCTAATCCGTTTGATAGTAAACCAACATTGTTCCGTGGGGAGAGGGGGATGATTGGTTTTGACCTTGGAAATTGATGTCAGTGTTCCAAGACTTTTGGCAGGCATTGTCTGAAAATTTTCTCGAAAACAGCAATCTGCGATATCAAAACATTGTGCTACCCTAGGGTTTTCGATGGTGCTGATCTCACTGCTACTAATGAAAATTCGAAATTTTCACTCTTTACCCAGTTAAAAGGGGGGGAGGGGGCTTGGACTCTGAACGATTGATATAGTAGATATCCGAGTATTGTTATTTGTTACAAAAAACATTCTACTGATTTTTTCCGTCAATATCATTTAAATCATTATTGAATACAAGTATTTTGTGCAGAATTCGATCATCGGTTTAAGAAAACTATCAATTTTCAAAGGAAAAACAGTGTAGTTTAGTGCTTTTGAAAAAGTGTTTTTTTGCTGAAAAGTCCCCTTATTTATGGTTTAATTGTTGATGAAAAAACAAAAATAAATTCATGAGAATGTCTACAAACCATGCATGATATAAATAATTGCAAACAACATGCTGGTGAGAAACTGTTCAAATGGCTCAATTTTATCCACCATAACCCTCCCAAAACCATCTACGAATTTAATAAATTTGCTTAGGCTATGCTCCTTCGCATTCACATGTGGCAACATGGTAGCGCTCATAGACACCCCATTCCCTATTATTTTCTATCTTCCCTTGTCCCAGTAATTGGAAAATGGTTGTGCCAATTATAATTGTTCGTTTTCCATTGTTAAAGTATGCTAGGAATTGAAAGAACGCTCCTTTCCTAATGGGCACGTGATGTAGTATGAAAATGCCTATTGCCAATGGTTACCAACGGTCTACAGCCACGGTCTACACATTTAAAATGTTCATAAAAATCGTATTTTTCAAAGAAAGTAGACGAAACCTCGTCAGTAGGTGTGCATGGCTGGTATAAAAAATATTGTAGGTTTTCAGATCGATACAAGTTGTAAAACTGAAGAAATTCAGGAAAGTGTCAACGGTCTACACTTTCTGAGAATTGAATTTGAAGTACTCTAGATCTTATTCTCCTTTTGAGTGTAGACCGTGGGATTTTCGTCATATTTTGCCGTTTTCTTCATGGAATTCATACAAAGGTTAATTTTATCTTTGAGGGGTATTATTATACACCTTTTAGGTGAATTTGGGGGCAAACATTCCCCTGACAAGTCAGAAAACTGCGAAGAAACAGCCACGGTCTACACAACGGTCTACAAGCGTTCATTTCCGAGGGTGAGAGTTGCCTTGCGGGGCCTTGTCCTTCACATCGACGCGCGCTACATTCGATGAAATAACATATTTTGTTGTGGCAAATGTCACGCAAACAAATACAGCAATCAATTAACGATGAAATAATCTGCCTTGCGCTTTATGAAGACAAAAGTAGCAGGTAGAGTCTAACTTAAAGGCCATTTTGGCAATGCAGTAACAGTAGGGAAGAGGGCTTTCTTTGTAGTGCTTCTGGGCCAAGCATTTAGGAGCGCAGGAAGGCGAGTGGATGTCAGTTTTATTTCAGTTCCCTTACCAACCAACATGGAATAGTAGATCAATCAGTTGGGAACTCTGATGTGGGAAACACGGGGTTCCTTTCTACAATTTAGGTAAACACTCTGAAATTTGTCATTTGGGCACTGAATTGCACAACAAGGGCCTATATAAATGACAACTTGTAAATCCGTGATAAAAGGAGAGCAACTACCCGACATAATTCTCAAATACGACCTTATCTATAATTAGAAACATGAAACAGAGGAATCGATGTCACTTTTATAAAATTGCATCCTTTCCATTTTTAGATTATTTTCTAGCTGCCACTCATATTTGTCTCCTTCATCTATCCCATTATTTCTTAGACAGCCATCTGGCTACGAGCCTTTGAAAAGATTCAAAATACAATCTTGATCTTATTTATTGGAAATCGATTTTGATTTTAGCAATTTTCACCTTAATTGAAATATGGCATTTAGTTTTATGGGGGTAGCTTACTCCCACCCCCGAAAAGAGACAATACCCCCATATCTCCTTATCGGTAACACGTACGATGTTGAAAATGGCAGAAATGGAATCAGCACCATCAAAAACCTATAGGAGGATATTGGTTTTGGTCGAATATCTAATAAGCTTCAAAATGAAATTCAGACAATGCCTGCCAAAAGTACTTGGAACACCCACCAATTTACGCTGCATTTGATATCTTTCATTCCTTTCATGAAAAAAATTTGCTACTTCCGCCCCCTTCCCCCTCAAACAATGTTGATGATTTAGAGAAATATCATAAAAGAAGCGCAAAAGAAAGTGCTTCCTAAAATCCTAGTCCGTTTGATAGTAAACCAACATTGTTCCGTGGGGGAGAGGGGGATGATTGGTTTTGACCTTGGAAATTGATGTCACAGTTCCAAGACTTTTGGCAGGCATTGTAGATCTTGATTTAAGTGTATCTTAGGTTTCTAAATAGCAAATAAGATCTTGTTTTTGTTCCTGCCTTTAAATTTGAATGTGGGCAGCCATTTTTAAACATTTCAGGCGAAAAACTGCTATGTATTTTTGAAGATGTTTCTGCTTTTTCTTATTGGCGTGAAATGCGGGAGCAAAACTAAACATTTAAGATCACATGCTATGAATGTGGAGATAAAGGGGAGGTGTTTTGCTCTTTGTTCTCCTATAGCCGGAAGGTATTATGAAACCGGAAGACATTTTCAAAATAGGATTTTTGATAAAATTTGATAAACGAGAACCAGAATAAATGAGGATCGGAATTCTATAGAATGGCAAGAAACCAATGAAAAGGTGAATTTTTGAATACGATGAAAGACTTTTTAAACCTGTAAGAAATTTTGACCTTCCAGGTGAAATTCCTAGAAATGAGGCAACAAGCATAAACAGTTTGCAAATAGCTGACGACACGCAAAAGTTGACCGTACATGGCCCGAATGAAGATAACCAACTGGTCATGAAAGCGGGGCCCAGTCTCCCTTCTCTGTATGAGCAAAGCAGAAAGACCGTTACTGATTGCATTCGGAGTTTCAAAATGGAGGCTGTTGAGAAAAAGCCAGAGTCTGACGTTATCCATGTCATTAAAGATAAACCCGTCCCAGAAGAACGGCCTGTCGTGGACACCAAATTGGTTGCTGGTAACGAGCCAGTTAGAAAGGACGGGGAAGTTGTTGATGAAAAGCCGGTCGGTGAAAACAGACCTGTCAATGAGGAAAAACCTGCTGCAATACAAAGTGCTGGGTCACGACCATCAGCAAACGGCAATGAATACAGTGGTAGGGATTCGCTCCTGGCTTGTGGGTATGACGACGAAGACCAAGACTTTGAAACGAATAATGATTTCAAACAGTTAAATGTATTCGAAGGCCTGCCATGGGATGTCCAATGCACGTCGGAATTTTGGAAAAAATTGAAGAATCCGAAGCTGGCAGAAACATTGAAGAAAAAGCTACTAATCAAGATCAAATTGCTGGCATCTGGAGAGTGGCGCAAGTCGTTGGCCATCAAGCTGGAAGGAGCCTGGTGCTCCTCAGGCAAGTACCAAATCTTCTGAAAATTGTCTTTTTTTCTGTCACTTAAGCATTATATTTGAGTTGTAAACTTTGTTTTGTCTATTTTTTTAATTGCGCCGAAAAATTTTATCCCATTGCACAAACTCCTGGTTGACAAAGATTTTAAATTTGAAATAAATAATCATGAAATAAAGTTGTGCCCTGTCACGTTTCATGTAAGCATTGCTTGAAATTTTTTAAATATCGTATCAGTTATGATATGATTGACTTCTGCATAGTCACCCCTCTTTACGATAAATCATTTTTTGGTGTTGCACAGCATTTTCTTGCTTGTATCAGACAGCATGGCAGGAAATTCTGTTCGTAGCGCAAACTCTTGTCCTTTTTGAAATAAAAGCATAACTTTGTATTTTTTTGTCGTAGGAATTCGATTGTACAAATGCAAAGTGACAAAGGCAGCGAGGATGATTTGGGAAGAAGCGATTGCATTTTCAGAACGACGAAGCCTTGATCAAGGAAAAAATGTCCAGGGTAACAGCCAGTTTGTGTACGCAGATGTCATCAGATTGTGGGACTTCACAGTGGACCATGATGAAGTAGCCACTATGATTAACCGGGTTGCGGAATCTCGCATTCGTGGTAAGTCTTGCTCATTCAAAAAGAAACTGACCAAAGTTGAAGTCAAGAGTGTGACAGAAACAAGTGAAAATATTCGCCTGCCGAATTTGTACAAATCTCGAAATTGTGTCGAGGTTATATCTGCAGAGCGCAGCAAACAAAAGTCTTTGCGTAATTTTACATTCTTCCCGTCTGCAAGCCCCAATGATGACGAATATCACATCTTGAAATTCTACGCACTGTCAAGCGCAATGGCAAAAAGTGTTCTGCAAAACTGTGAGCAGGACTTTGACTTTCCATTTCAAGTCAGCGAATTAGAATACTGTATCATCAGGCTAAACCCTGTCCCACTCTCATCTATTTTACTCTTGGGCAGAAGTGGTACAGGCAAGACAACATGCTGTGTCTACCGCCTTTGGAGCAAATTCAAGACCTACTGGGAAAATGCTGTCACTGCTGGACCGCACATTCCTATTTTGCAGAGATTAGTAAACGTGGAATCAGAAGAAAAGGAAGACATTGCGAAGAATGAAAATGACATGGCGGCCTCACCTCGTAAAGTCTCTAGATCAGAGGAGCGTGTTATGTCATGTGGTTGTATGGGGATCTGCATGTGTGCCTTAGCGGCTGCACGAGCTGCCAATCCGTCGATTTACGCCGATGAGGATGTAGAATCAGAGACCATCGAAACAAAATCATCTGCCCATCCGGTAACTGAAGGTCCTTCTGACGTTGGTGATGAAAGGAGCAGCCCCAGTTTGGTAGAGGATCATGAAAATGAGCGCTATCGTCATTTGCGGCAGCTTTTTGTTACCAAAAACAAAGTTCTTTGTCATGAAGTGAGAAAGAATTTCAAAGAACTCTGCAGTGGCCTGCCAGTCTCAATAGACCACGTTTCTTTTCAAAATGAGGTTGCAATTGAGAATCTAAATAAAATCCACCATTTGTCATACCCGCTGTTTCTAGGCTCTAGAGACTTGTTGCTAGCTCTTGATGCTACCTTGCCAGGAAAGCCGTTTTTTGCACGCGACAGCGATGGTAAACTGCTGACACAAGTTGCTGGTTGGGGTGAAAAAGAAAGTCATCTGGCTTTCCTACCTAAACTTGATTCGGAAAGTGAAGATGAAGACTCTGATGTTGAGAATGACGATGAATCGATTGCACCCGTCAAGGATAAACGTCCAAAGAGCATGCGTCAAGTCAACAGTGTGAAGCGGGAGGTGTCGTATTTGATTTTTGCTAATGAGGTATGGCCTTTGATTGAGAAGAAGACTGTTTCAAGCTATCACCCGTCTCTTGTTTGGACGGAGTTTTGCTCGTTCATTAAAGGCTCTTTTGCGTCACTGACGTCGCCCAGTGGTTGTCTGACGAAAGAGCAGTATGAGTCAATTGGACGAAAAAAAGCACCAAGTTTTACTGGCAATCGAGATATAATTTACAAGATGTTTGCAAAGTACCAGAGGATATGCAGAGACCGAAATCTGTTCGATGAGTTTGACTTCCTGTTTAACGTGTACAAAAGACTCAGCAAAAACCCAATCCAGCCGTGGCTATTTGATGAAATCTATGTTGATGAAACACAAGACTTCACTGAAGCTGAGCTTTTCACATTGATTCGCTGCTGCCAGGACCCCAATCGGCTCTTTTTTACCGGCGACACAGCACAAAGCATAATGAGAGGAGTCACCTTCAGGTTCAGTGACCTCATTTCGTTATTTCTCAATGCAAAAGAGGCCCTTGGCAGTGTCAAGAAATACCCGATTCAAGTTCCAGACAGAGTCCACCAGCTAACGTTCAACTACAGATCTCACAAAGGGATTCTAAACCTAGCCTCAAGTATAGTCAAACTACTGCACTTCTTTTTCCCAGAGTCCTTTGACCACCTTAGAGACGATGTTGGCTTATTTGATGGGCCTAAACCAGTGATCTTGGAAACGAGCGACTTTGGTGACCTCGCCTTGATGCTGAGAGGAAACCGTCGCAAAACATCACCCATTGAGTTTGGTGCGCATCAAGTTGTCTTGGTAGCATCAGAAGCTAGCAAAGACAAGCTACCAGAAGAGCTGACTGATGCCCTCGTCTTGACTATTTATGAAGCAAAGGGACTGGAGTTCGATGACGTGCTGTTATACAACTTCTTCAATGATTCCCAGGCAAGAACGCTTCTTAATTCAAGATGATTTTTTACTCCTTTTTTGTAAATTTGGTTTTTCCGCTGTAAATTTTTCTTTAGGCTTAAAAATTTCATGATGAAATTTGTGGGTTAATCTACAATTTCAGTGATTTCCCGTGTTCAAAATAACTTTCACGTATGAAAATCGATTAAGGAATTCCATCATCAAACAATTTGATTAAACCTTAGCAGGCTAAACCTTTGATTAAAAAAAACTAAGTTTTAAAAAGAGGAGGAAAGGAAAATTTTGAAAAACAAATGAGGAGATGGTGTTATTTCATGTGTAGTACGTAGCTATGTGTTTAATGAACGGTATAGACTCAAGTGAAAGGAAAATCCTCTGCAAAATCACAAGTTTGACAATTTTTGATCGACTATTTTAGATACTGCAATACCCTATTGTTGCTACAATTCAATGAATCGGTTTGTAAAGGCTTTTTCGATCTATATTCCATAGGCAGGGAAAGAATGGCGTGTTATTAACACTTACGTGGTACCTGAAAGCACCAAAGGAAAGGAGTCAGAAGAAAACGGAAATGCGAAATCCAGTGGGGTTGTCAGCATGACGGAAAGCGATCTAGCTTTGGAAAGTCGCCCGTTAGAGTTCGATTATAACAAGCACAAAATTTTGAATTCTGAGCTAAAACAGCTGTATACTGCTTTAACTCGCGCCAGAGTGAATGTCTGGATCTATGACGAAGACAGAGAAAAAAGGGCACCAATGTTCAGTTTTTTCAAAAAACAGGGCCTTGCTAATACCCTGAAACTGGATGAAAATCAGAGTGATTCTAGTCAAGAGAATGGAATGTTTGCCGTGAAATCGTCCATTACCGATTGGGAAAAGAGAGGCGAGTATTTCTACAAGAAGGAGTTGTGGAGTGTTGCATACAAATGCTTTGCCAAAACAGAAGATAAGCTTATGTTGAGAAAATGCAGCGCACACCTCCAAGCAATGAAATCTTATAAAATGGGTATGGATTGGCGTGAAAGTAGAACAGGGTCGCTAAAAAGCGTTTACACAGAGTATCTCGCGGCCACAGCAATGTACCTCGAATGCGGTATGGCGGAAGAAGCAATCATTTGCTTAAGGAACGCCAAAGAATGGAAACTGTTGGGAGATTTGCTTTTCTCTCTCGGGAAGGTATGAAGCTCATGATATGCCTAATAAAAATTGTTGTAGCAATTTAAAATGCAGATGCCTCCATTTATATTTTCATAACAACATGATAAGTTTAATGTTTATTTAATCTGATTTTGAATCCATGCTGGAAGAATGTGAAATAGGTTGGAGAAATCACGTTTATTTATCTCCAAATGTAGATAATTCTATCAAAATGGTATCTTGGTATAAATTTTGGAAAGCTTTTTATAAACACGACCCCAATACTTTTATGTTGCAGTACTTGGATGCTGGGAAGTATTACGCCAAAGCATCAGATTCGCCGAAAGACAACAGCGCAGTGAAAGCCAGCGCAGTGAAAGCCAGCGAGTGCTACGAAGTCATCGGGGATTACAGAAGTGCTGCGGACATTTTGTACAAAAAAGAGAAATACCAGGAATGCATTCAAGTTCTCAAGAGGTTTGAAACAAAAAGAAGTAATAATAATGGGATGGTGCTCAAGCCCCCTCGAAGCACTCTGAGTGTGGAGAAAGTTGTGAAAGAAGCGGCAGATATCTGTGCAAAAAAGCGTGATTTCGACAATCTGAAGGGATATCTTAAAGAGCTGCCACTTGAGAGTCAGTTGGAGTACCTGCGGAGGAAGCGTGGATGCAGAGATATTGAGTTGGAGGTACTCATTGAAAACGGAAGAGGTGAAGAGGCTGCGGAGATTTACATCCAAAATGGAGAACATCTTAAGGCTGCAGACTGCTCAAAGGAAGATACGACAAGGGGGATTTGCTACCTAGAGCAGGCACGTAGTATTTGGAACGACATAGGGCAAGCAATATCTGCAAATTTACAACAACAGAAGTATAAGCAGGTAAAGCAGTTTGTAGATTATGCTGTTAACTACCTGCCAAAGGATGACACAAATCTTGCAGACTGCCATTTTCTCAATGGGCTGGTGTCTGAAGACCGATCAAAGTCTCTCATAGAGGCCGCCGATGTTTACAGAAAGAATGACAATAATATTGGTGTGCTTTTATGTCACGGGCTGCTTCTTGAAGAGGGCAAGATTGATAGTGATGTAATTATAGAGTCCCTGGACAAGATGTTTCGCCAACTTGCAAACATTCATGTGTCCAAGAAAGCAGCTGAAGTATTTAAGTTGGTGCAACAATTTTTTGGCATTGTTAAGGTTGCCCGAGATGGAGCTACCTTCGAATTTCGCGTCAATAAATCCAAGATACAGTTTCGTTTACAGATTCTTGGCTCACCAGCCGAATTAGAGGCGATTAAGTGGTTTGATAACTTGGATGAAGAAAATGGCACTCTTGACCTCATATCTGCTCTTTTCCTCTATGTTGAGGATATAGCGGCCAAGCTTTTCCAGTTTTACGAGTCAGAACTAGAGAGGTTATCTTTCTGCAGCCAGTTCTTGCAAGGAACTTCCCATGCCAATTGCCAAATGATGCACCTGATCCCAGATGGTGAATTCGCCCAGCAGAGATTAAATCTATACTTCTCTCTCATACAGTTGCAAGGCCTCATAAGGAAACACATCACTTCACTTGTGAAAAGTAAATATCTTGAGAGTAAAGTTAATAACCATCAATGGTTAAGTATGTACAATGCAGAAATGGAGATGGTGAAAACCTGCAAAGAGCTTTACCAGGAAATCATTGCCTTATACAAGTATTTAAATGTATCCAAATTCACAGGGCTTCAGCTAGTCAACTCACTGCCGGATATGCCATTTGTAAAAGAACAGATTCAGTGGTGCCTGAAGATGATGTTTCGTGGTGACAAAAAGTACAAAGACGTGAACATTTTTCTCGAGACCTTCACCATGTCTAACTTTGCAAGGCTGAACTTTATTCAGTATGAAGTAGATGCTATTAGTGAAGATATCAAGCAGCGTTATAAGGAGACGGTACCAATCGATGAGCCTGGTCTACGCAACAACAGGGAACACCGGATCGAATGCTTCCATACCATATTTATGGAAAGCTGGCAATGGTTGCATAGTGAAGGGGCCTTAATCGAGTCGATTCATTACTTGCTGCGACGTGCTTTGCCATTGCTGGTGACTAAACACGTGATTATGCCCACGCTCAAGAACTGTTTGTCCCTGCTGGAGTTCAGTTTGACGCTGTCACTTATCTCACTATGCAGAACATCGTCTACAAACAGGAAAAGGACGTGGATTTACATCCCGGCCTTTTATATCGAGGGGCTTCAGTTCTGGTGCGGGATTTATGAATCCTGTAATAAGCCAAATTATTCAGTCTGGGATAGTATTGAGTATGTCTCCGTTCAAAAGGGAAGATCGTATGTAATTTCCCTGGTGAAGTGGTTGATAGATTTCATTCTTACGACCAAATCAGGCAAGCTTGACCTATTTTCGCAAGCCTTTGGCCGAACATCAGTAGAATCAGGAGACTCACAACAGTTTTTAATTCTTGTTCTGGTTCTGCTTGCAAACGAGGAGCTGATTTCATCGATTGAGAACGGTTACCGAGATGTCGCAAAGCTGGAAGAAGGTCTGAAATCATTATGGCGGAAACTGATGTCCGTTACATCAAACGCTGAAACAACAGAGGATCGAGTAACAATCTCCCTGAAAAATGCTGCCCTTTGCTCACAAGATAATGCCTATAAGCTACTAAGTGAAACTACAGAAAAGTTTGGTAGCGAGTTGATGAACTTCAATTGGAGAATGATCTGTGATCTGTATACACCAAAACAAAGAAAAGTAGAAAATATCGCCTCCAAGGAACGAAGATTTTTGCAAAAAGAAGAGATCAAGCCCCCACGTTTCAGACAAGAAGCAACCACTATGGGAACATCAAAAGAACATCAATCGAACAATGTTGCGGAAGTAAATCAAGATCTTCTGCAGAATACGAAAGTCATCGATGCAGCCACAGAGCAGACAATTTTCTCAAGGAATACTTCAGATGCAGCGGTTGTCTCCAAGCCCCTTGCCGACGATACCAAGGCATCGCGAGGTAAAGAAATGCATATTAGATAATGGTTAACCCTTTATAAAAAAAAGATGATTTGCGATATAGCGTACAATGACATTCATTTTGAGAGCTAGACTGGTTTAACTTCAGGAGAGGCAAAAAAAGATTTATCATTTCTAAAATTTATTGAACATTTATTTGTTAAAATTTTAAATTTCAAATCTGTTTTATAGCTGATCGGACTGATGATTTTACAGTTATATCGACGGCTGCAGAACACAATGAGACGAAAATCCTAATGCGCGAAGTTTCATATGAAGACCAAACACTGGCATTGAGGGACCCATCAGCACAAGTGAAAGCAATCGAAGAAAGGCGAACCCGAGATAATGATGCTGCCCGAAAGATTCAGTCATGGTGGAGAAGAGTTGGACCGAATAATGAGAAGGCTTTTGGTGGAAGTGAGAAACTGGAGCAGGCTGAGGAACATTGTTCCAAGTACTTTGTAGATCTGAAATGCGTACCGGCTGCAGAACACAATGAGACGAAAATCCTAATGCGCGAAGTTTCATATGAAGACCAAACACTGGCATTGAGGGACCCATCAGCACAAGTGAAAGCAAGCGAAGAAAGGCGAACCCGACAAAATGATGCTGCCCGAAAGATTCAGTCATGGTGGAGAAGAGTTAGACCGAATTATGAGAAGGCTTTTGGTGGAAGTGGGGAACTGGAGAAGGCTGAGGAACATTTTTCCAAGTACTTTCTAGACCTGAAATGCGTACCATGTGGAATTCGTTTCAGTTCAAGAAAAGATGTGGATCAGCACATACTCAGCGATCAACTTCACGAAAGACACGCAGCTGACTATGACAAGTACATTTCGTACAAACAGTCCGTTTCGGTTGTTTGGTTGAACAAAGCTGATGATCTATTGGATCTGGAAATCCAAGGGCAGAAAGTCAGTACCTTACCAAATATTTCTACTAATCTCTCCAAGCGCATTGCTGAGGTTTCAATGGAAGAAAATTCTATAGAAAAATTGCATCAGTGGAAGGAGTTGCCAAAGCTCAAGGAATGTGTAACTGCTTTGCAGAGGTCTCATTTTAAGCTTTTGGAAAAGTTTCGCCGCTCAGAAGGTAAGCTGGTATTATAAGCAGAATTAGTTTGCACTTTTTATATTGAATCGATTAAACCAAATGGAAACAATGACGCAACAAAACACACAATACAACACAACAACACAACTACACAACACAACACAACACAACACAACACAACACAACACAACACAACACAACACAACACAACACAACACAACACAACACAACACAACAAAACACAACACAACACAGCAAGCATTACACGGAATAGTCAGATACATCTGCACATTGATCTATAACATAATACTCTACAACACAACAACACAAAAAACAGAACACAACGCAACACAACGCAGCACAAATCAACACTAATCAATGAACACAATGCACACAAGACAAAAGCTATACGAAATACAGTGCAACGCGACGATTTATGATTTTGATCTTTGGTTTTGATTAAAGGTTTATGCTGTGAGCATATCAACGCTTTTAACGTTTCACGTGTGATCCAAGATAATTGTCAAACATTAGACGATTGCAAACATTTTCGATTTTCTTGAAAGATACGCTATCAATCCCATCATCTCACTCACATCTTACCCAACAAAGCTTACCTAATGTCCCAAAGGAGAAGTCTCCCCTGACATTTCCCGTTTTCTTTGTGGGTTAGTCCCTCCTTGAGTTAGCACAAGGGAAGGCAACGCAGTGCCACAGAGCGCAAAAAACTGAAATTTCTTACAACATAGAGTATTGTATGAATACTTATTTAAACATAACCAGAAATCTCATTCCCTTCTTTCCCGCTTTTGACACAGTCTTGCGTCAATATTTTGTTATTTTATATTTTAGAAAATGACGATGAGAATTATAACAATGATGGAGATTACAGCTTCAGAGATGATGACAATTACGATGATTTCGAAATGGTGACAGGCAAAAGAAAATCAAAAAGGTTTACCAGTGCAAACCACCGATTTCATAGAGGTATGCATATACAGTGTGTACCAATACGTGTGAACAGTATGCCTATACAGTGTGTACCAATATGTGTGAACAGTATGCCTATACAGTGTGTACCAATATGTGTGAACAGTATGCATATACAGTGTGTACCAATACGTGTGAACAGTATGCCTATACAGTGTGTACCAATATGTTTGTACAGTATGCATATACAGTGTGTACCAATATGTGTGAACAGTATGCCTATACAGTGTGTACCAATATGTGTGTACAGTATGCATATACAGTGTGTACCAATATGTTTGTACAGTATACATATACAGTGTGTACCAATATGTGTGAACAGTATGCATATAGAGTGTGTACCAATATGTGTGAACAGTATACATATACAGTGTGTACCAATATGTGTGAACAGTATGCCTATACAGTGTGTACCAATGTGTCCAATTTATGTGTGAACGTATGCCTTACAGTGCTGTACATATGTGTGTAACCAGATGCTTATATACAGTGTGTTACCAATATGTTTGTACGTAACATATAAGTGTTGTACCAATATGTGTGAACAGTATGCCCTATACAGTGTGTACCCAAATATGTTGAACAGTACTGCAATATACAGTGATTTTGTACCAAATATTCGTAAACAGTATGCCTATACAGTGTGTACCAATATGTGTGAAAACAGTATGCCATAACAGTGTTACCCAATATAGTGTGAACGTATGGCAATTATCAGATGTGTACAATATGTTTGTTACCATATATTTACAGTGTGTACCGAATATGTAGTGAACAGTATGGCCTATACAGTGATGTACCAATATGTGTGAACAGTATGCATAATACAGTGCTGTAACCATACGTGTGAAAGTGCAACAGTTGTACCGAGATCATACAGGGTACAATTAGTGTAACGGCCAATATGTGTGACAGTATGCCGAATACAAGTGATGTACCAGTATTAGTGACGATACATATACAAGTTACCAATATGTGTGTACAGATTATGCCTATACAGTGTGTACCAGATATGTAAAAGAAAGCTAAGAACAGTATTTATGCCTCAATCGTCTCGCATGATAAAATTATCCTATAGGATGTTTCATGATCAAATATATGAGTTTCATCAATACTGATAAAATATTCAGTGCACCAGTTAGTTTTCAACTTGCAGCTTGACAATAAATATTCCTCCACCAACTTTTTGTATAGATTTCTCCAACTAAATATGTGTGTACAGCACTCAGGCATGTAGACAGAACCGCAAGGTTTGTATTAGTTGTAAACCATGTCTGCGAATAACATTGTTTTTTTCCGAGTTTGCCATTACAGTGCTGTGGTTTGACTTCGTATAATCTAATAATATTTTGATGATACTCTGTATTTGAATCTCTCACTGGTTGTAATGTCATCCGAAATCTTTCTATTGTGTGTCATAACTCTCAAACGCGTACAAAGTTAAATGCCTCAGATTATACTTATCTCGTAGACGATAGTGCAAAAATCCTTGACTATACTATATGCTTTGTATTGAATACGCGATATTTTTCTGCCTGATAACTACTCGCGAATGTACTGGTAACGACAAAATTTCATGTCGATGATACTCAATGTGTTTGAATTCGGCTGTAGACAGTGTTCAAACTGTACAAATATGTGTGTCTAGCAGTTGTACTCACAGAAAATATTTATCGTCTCATATTTTTCTCACGACTCGTATGTGAAATGTTATTTTCAATTTGCAGCTTTGATAAAAATCTCCTCAAAAAACTTTGTAATTTCAAACTTTTTCAGCGCATATAGAGAACGCAAAGGTGTTTTGATAACTGCTTGCTCAAAACTTGTTTTGTGAATCAGTGGTATTTGCTAGGACTTCAATTTATTGAACATTTATGTGAGTTTTTCTATTCCTTAGGTTTCATGTAACGCATTATGATGCTTTGTAAGTACACTCTGTCAACCGTACAAAATTAATGAAACTCCTCAGATTCTGAAATTGTATTTATCGAAGCAATAATAAATGCTTAGTGTGATATTTTCTGATCCATGATATGCAATTTCTCGTTAAACTATGCATATACTGAAACGAAAATTTCACAGATTATTCTTGAAGGTATGCGAGTTCAATAATGGTCAGCAATGTCTCACAAATATTGGATTCATGTTTTATTTCACGATTGAAAATGTTAGTTTTCATTTGCAGCTTGAAAAAAAAATCCTCATATAAGTTTGTGCATTTCCAGAACTTTCAGCTCGCCGATTTAGAGAACAGTGCGCAAAGGTGTTTTTTAATGTCCCGAATATAACACTTGTTTTTCTGATATTGTTGTGTGAACATTGACTCTTTCTACTAATAATTGTTTGATTTCATTCAACATTTTTGTAGTGGTTACAGCTTAGTTGCAATCTGATTCACTGAAGTAGTCTCAACCGTTTACAAAAAGTAAACCTCAGATTCTGATTTTGTATACGAAGCATGGAAATCCTCTCGAATCCATATGATTCTTTGTGTGATGGACAATGCGAATTTTCGTGGTGAACTATTGCCACAGAAGTTGAGCTGAAACGAAAATTTCACAGATTATTCTTGAAATTGATACCATATGTCTGTGAACAGTATGCTATACAAGTAGTGCCGAATAGTGTTGTGTCAACTACAGTAATTGCGATCCAGTCAATTAGCTCAGTGCAAAATATATTTAGCCGATAATGTTTTATTAGTTACAATTGAAATGTTAGTTTTGTCAATGTGCAGACTGTATAACAACATATACAGTGTGAAAACTTGTAATTTCATAATCTACTCTACTAGTCTCTGGGCGTGAATATCAAGAGTATAGCCGCAATAAGTACAGTGTGTTTTTAAATGTCCCAAATCTATCTCTATTTATTGTGTGTGAGTGTGACATTATACCTCAGTTATTGATGTAAATTTTACTTATCTCGTTCGCTGTGTGCAAAGTTTTCTGTAAATATCTTCATCCAACATAGATGCTAAAGTTAGCACATCAAGTGTTCTGAAATTAGTCATATAACGATAGCAAAAAATCTAATTATCGTTACGTCAATATATGTATTGACAATTTCTTCTGAAATTTGACCAAATATTGAAAACAAGCGGATAGCACTTTTTTAACAAGTTATCAGTGTCTGAAGGTACGGCGAGTCAAATATGGTCAGCATATATCTCGTACATAACAATTGATAATAGTGTGTGGTATCCCTCTATATGCCATTATTAGTGTATTTACAATTGATAATGTCTTAGCCTCATATCTCGATATTTGCTCAGCTTTGAAAAAATTCTCTACTCTAATTACATATTGTAATTTCAAACTTTCAGCGGCATTAGAGAAGCGCAAAGGTGTTTGTTTTCAATTGTCCAAAATAGTGTTTTTCATTGGTCTTGTGAACGGTATGTGACCTCTCTAATGATAATTTATCTCTATTTCGTAGTTCCTTAGTTTCATAGTTTTCTGTAAACTCTAACCGTACAAGTAGATCCACTCAAACAGATTTGTGAATTTGGTGAAATCACGTAAGCAATAGAGACTACTTGATTTATATCATCTCATTGTATAGTGAACATAATCATCTTTTCCTGAAACTTGATGACAACAGAATACTGAACACGAAAAATTTAACAGATTAATTTGAAGTATGAGCGGTATCATAAATATCATGGTCAAGTCAAAAGTTGTGGAGCAAATATTTTTTTATCCCAATAGTATTATTTCACGAATAGAACTGGAAATGTTAAGTTTCTGCATAATTGTGTGATATGACTGTGATACAAAATTACATCTTCGTAAAAACTTGTAATTTCAAACTTTCAGCGGAATTAGGAGAACGCAAAGGGGTTTTTAAAACTGTCTCCAAAATAGGTTATAACACGTTGATGCTCGTGGTGACTAGATTTGTTCGATAACCATAGATATATTATTGTGTGTACAAGTTGCCTTTTATTTTTTATCAGTGTTGTCCACTAATAGTGTGTTCAAATTTTTGTGTCTAGCAGTATATAGCCCTACTCTCTCACCGCTTGTACAAAGTGTACTCAAACCCTAAGATTTCATGTAGTATATATGTGTAATAACGCAAGGCTCTAAGCATTGGATATTTACAGTCTGTTTGTTTATTACCAATGTAAATGTGTCAAATTATCGTCTATTGGACCATTATTGGCAAAGATACTGAACGAAAATTTTCACATCTAGCTGTGTGGTACGGCTGGTGCCCTCAAAATATATGATGGTCAGCAATTGTCTACAATAAGTAGAAATCAGTTATTGTCCTATGTTTTATTTATCAATTGAGTAGTGTTACGCTTATTATGTAATTTGGCTGCTTGCAGAAATATGATTTCTCTCTCGAAAAACTTGTAATTCAAAAACTTTCACGCAATTATGAAGAACGCTAAACGCGATGTATATTTTTAAATGTTACCACATATAAAAACTATTTACTAGTTAACCATATGGATTGTTTGGTATGGACTTTGCTACATATACTGTGATATAACGCAATTATATATGTGTTGAAACCGTATAGTCTTATGACCTATTCATAAGTTTACTTAGTGTGTCAAAAATATTGTCTCAGTAGCAACAGTACAAAGTAAATCACTCCGTGTCCCCAGCTTCTGATTATTTGAGCTATAATGGTGAGCAAAAAATCTTGTTTAGCTTCTGTATGAATGGAATTTTCTCTGAACTATGCAATGTGATATACCAACGATAATGATAAAGTTTTCGAACAAAGTCAGATTGTTCTGTGAAGGTACGCAAGTTAAATATGTGCAAGCAATTTTTCACAAAATATTTTTTCATGTCTTATTTACAACATTGAAATGGTTAGTTTTCAAATTGCATCTTGAAAAAATATCCTTCAAACAAACTTTATGTAATTATTCTCAAGCTTGTTTTGTCACCGCATATGTGGTCGATATACCGAGAATAGTGCGGCAAATGTTTTTAATAATCGTCGCGTAGACTTTGTTGTTTTACCTAAGTTGTTGTGCTGTTGACTTTTCTAATTGGATAAATGTTTAGACCGGTTTTGTCCCAATTAAGATTCTTAGTTGTTTCAATGTAACTTCTATCTAGTTGATCTGTGCTACACGACCTGTGCACAAATAAACCCTCGATTCATGGAATTTTGTATACGAAGCAAAAATAATTCTATTGTTATCAATCTTATATGGTAATTAGAATACCTTAATGCAATTTCTTATCAAGTTGAATGTTTATACCTAATAGTGTGAAGATTACTGGAGTTTGCATTAAGAGTACGAAAATTTTCACAATTATCTGTACCAATATGTTTGAAGGGAACTCAGAGCGGTATCGCTATACAGGTGTACCATAATGGGGAACAGTGATGCATATACAGATGTGTACCAATAAATGCTGTGAACAGTATGGGAGCATTATCAAAACTTCTTTGGTCTGTTCAACCAATCATGTATTTGGTCAAGCGATAGAAAAACAGCTTATGTTGCATCTTCTAGTGGATTTCACACAATATGTGGTGACAGTAGTGCATATACAGTGTGTTTTAATTCACAAATTGAAATGTTATTTTTCATATTTGCAGTGCTTACTGTATATAACGTGTTAACCAGTATGCATATACAGTGCTGTCATCACAAATAAATGTTTGTGTACAGTTATGCTGCTAATTTATACAAGTGCTTTTTTTCAGCTGATACCAATATTGTGGCATAAGTGGAAACAGTACGCATGAATAATACAGTGTGTGTTTAAAAATGTCCCAAAAACTGTGTTTTTACCTTTAATTGTTGTGAACAGTGTGCATTTAGTACAGTGGTTTGACTTCTAATTGTGTATCCAAAATGATTGTGGACTTTGTATCTACAAGTATGGCAATTCTCATTTACCAGTGAGTTTTTATATAGTTACCATTTTACTCGTGTGAAAACAGACTTCTTCAACCGTACTTATGACAAATGGGTTACAAGATGACACCCTTTGCTCAAACCAAGATTATGTGTTTTGAACCAGTATTGCCTATACATGCTAATTTTGATTACGAGAGGGTGTCACCAAAAATAATATGTGTCTTGCAAACAGTAATGCGCATATACTTAGTGGTGTACCAATATGTGTGTACAGTATACATATTAACAGATCTTTGTACCAATTTCATGTGTGAACGTATGCCTAACAGTGGTGTACCAATATGTAGTTGACAGTATGCCATTGGATAATTAGCAAGATGTTTTTTACCAATTTTTATTGAAGATTAGCTGAACAGATATAGGCATATTTAGACAGTCGTGAAACCGAAAAATTTTTCAGTATCAGAACCTATTCAAATATGTTTGTGAAACAGTATGCTATACGTGTAGCGGCTCGTAGCCAATATTGTCGCAGTGAAACATGATTAGTGCGTCAGTCATACAGTTTGGTTCTCGTAACCAATATCCGTAAAAGTATTTTGTGTAGACCAGTGAATGTCAATTCTACCATGTGTAGTTTTATTTACAATGTTAACACTGATTAATGGTTTTTTCAGATTTTGCAGCTTTTGAAAAAGATGAGTAACAAGCTTTACTCAATAATAACAGCTGTTGTTACAACTAATGTTTCTAATATACAGTTGCTAGCTCATATACAGGTGTGTACAATATGTGTGACAGTATTGCATATAGGTGTGGCTTATAACCAATAGAGAACTGTCTCTCTCACACGAGGTATAACATATGACAGTTGTTTAAATGTCCTCGCTAACCAATATGATAAATAGCTTGGTGTTATGATTACAGTTTGTGTGCTGTTACCACATAATGTGGTGTGGATACAGTTACTTTCTTAATTTGGCGGTAATACTCAAGTGTTTTTTCCTCGACTAATATGTGTCTACGTGAACGGTATACTGTCAGTTATTTCATTACGTGTTTCTTGTACCAATATGTTTGATGTGAAATCAGTTATATTGCCAACCGCCTTAATAACAGAGTTGAACCCTCACTTTTACCACTATGTGTATTTTGTGGTATCAATTATGAAGTACATAACAGATGTGTAACTCAATTATGGTTTTATTGTGTTTGTAACAGTATGCATGGATTTGATAATTTATCCTCTAGTGAAACTTTATGGCGTACAACATATGTGGTATAAACAGTGTGTGACACGAAAATTTCAACTAGCAGTGTGTATCCTATATTTTTGTAGTTGTGAATCAGTATGACATCATAGCTCTAGTAGAAATGGGTCATGGCTAAATCTGATATATGTCAGATAGAAAAACAGATATGATCATATTCTCAGTGGTTTTCTGTACTTATTTTATACGTTTATTGTGAACAGACAATAATGTCCTGTAACAGATGTGTTGCTTCAAGGTTTATATTGTGCATAGAACTCTAGTATGCATATAAAGCTCTAGTGAATTCCCTCAAAAACTTTTTTACTTAAAATATGTTCGGAACACTATTCTAAGTGCTATACGTGGCATTATGTACCAGGAGTATGTACGCTATAGTAACAGTAGATGTTTTTTAAATGATCCGCATGAACTTGTTTTTCTCATATGTGTGAACAGTAGATGCATGTTGGTAGAGTTTGACTTTTTAATTGGATTAATTTATCTTGACTTTTTTCTAGTTCCTTTAGTTTCAAATTTGTCTGTTGTATACCTAATATCGTCTTTCATTACAGCTATACATATAGCTGCGAAATTTACCAAATCACTGTCGTCGAGCATCAGTATTCCTTGGTGAACTTTGTATATACTGACAGTGCAAAAAAATTCTTGTTTGTATTTTGTTGTACCAATGATTAGTGGTATTTTCTCTGAGTGAAACAGAATTTAATGTTGCCATATAACAGTGGATACTGAAACGAAAATTCACAGTATTGTACAATATGTTTATTTGACATTGTGAAACAGTATGACGATCGTAGACTCAGTTGTTGTCACACCAAATATGTGCTGATGTACATTATGCAGCCAATTAGTTCAGCTGCAAAAATATTTGGTTCATTTTATCTACAATATTACAATCTGAAATGTTAGTTTTAATGTTGCAGCTTGGACAAAAAATTCCTCCAAGATTGCCCTTTACTCGTAGATTGTCCAAACTTTTCAGCGCTGATTAAGCCAGAAATATGTCGCAGTGAAACAGATGGTGTGTCTTTAAAATTGTACAAGAAACCTTGTTTTTCTGGTGTTGTTGACTTCTATTGATATATTTTGACTATTTCTAGTTACTTAGTATCATAGTTTTTTGTAATTCTCAACCGTACGAAAGTTAAACCCTCAGCTTTCTGATTATGTATATGAAGCAAGAAAATTCTT